TTAATCTGCGAGTACACCATGACAGATGAAATGACATTCCTACACAATTCTATAAAGAGCTGGTTAAAATAAATGTATACTGAAAAAATGAAGACATTATGAATACAACAAATTTTGCACCTCCATAACGCATTTCATGATTTCAAAGTTGAGTTGCGACAAAATTAGATTGTTTCTGACCACTTACGACCAAGGATCATCAGCAGTTCCCTCGTCAGGGCAAAAAGAGAGTAATTTCTCGTCCGCTTGGGCTCGAAGGAGCAGCTCCAAGCTGGAGACTTGCTGTGGGGTCTGTCCTAGGTCGTGTTCTGGGGTCTGCCCTGGGATCAGGCATTCATCTGGGGTGTCCTCGACACTCTTCTCTCCATCCTCATCATGTCCGATGTCTCCTGTCCTGTTGGCTGCGTTTGAATTATTGCTGTTCAGTCCTGGTGCTGGTGCCCCGTCTCGACTGGACTCGTACAGAGGATTGGTGAAACCCTTCCCATTGGGCCGGGTACTAGCAGGTAGAGGAACTCCATGTACCTGGTCGTACATGGGATTGCTGAATCCCGACAGGTCATCGTGGGGAACACCACCACCATAGACAGAGCTGTTCTCTGGCACATACTGGACTGAGCCAAACGCTGTCAGGCATTAAAAACATCAGTTATAAACTTTTGCCAACATTGTAAGTAGCTCTGCATTTGGAAGAATTCAGATATACCCGGGTCATTTCCGTTTTGATCCTGTTGTTATTGAACTATGAAAGGTTCCCACATGTATACATGCAACGCAGCATGGAAATGCAAAATAAAACCAAGAGTGCAAGGAGGTGATGAAAAAAATGTTGAAGATGAGCAGTGGCAAAACTGACTCCAAGAAAACCCACAGAATTGAGTAGAGACTGAAAACCTAATCTACACGTCTTCCTGAGTGGGATTCGAACCTGGGTCACAAAGGTGGATGGCAAGGGAAAGTAGCACGTCCCGACATGACTCCAGCAAATAATCAGATCAGGTCTTCTAAATCCCTCACCCATTTGGGAGAAGAAAAAAAAATTACAGTTTTCATCCAATTGACCCTCGGTCTGACACAACTCAGAAACACAACTTACCTGGAGACATCAATATCTGGTTACTATCAGGAGTATTGACCACTGTCACTCCCAAGGGGTCTGTCTCCTGTAATTCCTCATCTCCCGTCTTCTGCTCCTTGGCAAAGTTGATAAACACCTACAGAGATTGGGAAATATGAACGTTAGATCATTAAAGCAGAGCTAGCTGGACATACAGTGAATGACATTCCGTGTTTATTATCACAATGCTGACTTGTAGGTAAAAAAAGCCAATGCAAAGTTAACGTATTTAAGGAATAATGAGTTTCTTGGGAGTTTTGAGCACTAAGCAAACATTGTTCCCCTACGCTCACCTGATCAAGAGTTGTCTGGCATACTGAGTAGTCCTCGATGAGAAACCGTTCCTTGTTAGCTCCAAACACACCAAATACCTTGGCCAGGGAGGTGCTGGCTGTGGGCATCTGGTACTCCAGCATGTTGAAGTGACGCTCCCGCAGTGTGGTGTGGGGGAACATCTCGGCCACAAAGCGCATGAGCGGTTCCAGGCGGGGCGGATCGCCGCCCACACGGATGGAGATGGTATAGCCATCACCAAACCTAGACAGAGGAAGAACATGCCAGTTACTGTGTGCACACTGACAGCATCTGGCTGATCTCTTCATCGTACGGACTGTGCATGAACCTGTACGTAAATGCTGCCCTCGCCTTCAACAAAGAGAATACCAAGCCAACGTTTCAATGTAACTACTGCCGTGCACATAATGAAACCTTGCAGGCTTGCTGATCACCTATGTGTCCTCTTTGCCACATGTATGCAAACAAAGGCATCCATGTGGTGTGTCTGTTGCTAGGTAACAAGAGCTCTCTGCCATTCTGAACAGAGCCAATAGCAGCCAAGAAAACAGGGTAGGTTTTCATCATCTCAGGCCTTGTCTCTGAAATCATTACCCACTTGTAGGCTAGCATTGCTCAAATGAAATGGTTAAAACCTTTGCATTGCTGGCATGAAGTTTGACCTTTCATTGGTAGTACCCGACTTATTGAGCTAAAACTTCAGAGTCAGTGGGTTAAATATCAAGCAAAGCAAGCAATGGACACTAAGCTGAACGTTGGAAAACTCACCGGAACTTTCTAAACATTGAAATGAACTATGTCGAAAAGTGTGTTTTGAATTGTCGCCTTGGTTTGAACTCTTCTATGTGGACCGTATTCCTTTCTAAAATAAAATTGAGAAATCTGCCCTGAACAAATAACAGTTGTCAACCATGTCAAGCATAATCTATTGTGATTGGCTTACTTTGATTTGAGATGCTGTGTACTACCGATGCACTTAAATCGTCCATTGACCATGATGGCAACTCGTGTACATAAGGCCTCGCATTCTTCCATGCTGCAAACACAAACAAAAGCTTTTTTTAAATGTGTAATCTTGTCTCATTGGTGCTCCATACAGCTAAATGCTTTTAGTTTATACCCAAAACCACCAGAGAATATTGGGAGCCAAACTGTGCAGTGAATTTTTTGCTCGTTCTGCTTTTCCAATTAACGTACCGTGAGGGTAAGAAAAGAACGGAGCATGGTTCCCTGATATTGCACAGCTCAACTCTGACAAAACAGGTTCTTTAGTCTTGGCCCGCCCCAGAGTTTCACAACTCCGCCCCTGCTCTCATACCTATGTGATGTCAGGATAACAGAGCGTCCTTCTTTGATGATGCCAGTGATGCGATTCCAGAGGAACCGACGAGCCTTGGGGTCCATTCCAGTGGTTGGCTCATCCTAGGATTCAAGGAAGATAGGATTTTCCTCTCCAACTTTACTCACTGTCAGTCCTCGACGGAACCAATGGATTTAACAATGAAAAACTAACTCAACGGTGCAGAATACCGACCAGGGAACCAATTACACTGTAACAAATTTCTAATCAGGAAACTATGTTAACCCTAACACTCCTCAATCCTTCACCTGTTGGAGGATTGAGGACTGTTAGGGTTAATATAGAGATGTCAGAAGTCTAGCGTATAGGAAGATATTTACAAGTCGTTCAATTCAGAGGCAAGACACCAACTCACCAGGAATACCAGCTGAGGGTCTCCGATGAGGGCAATGGCAGTGGATAACTTCCTCTTATTACCCCCGCTGTAGGTGCCCGCGACACGCTTAGCATACTTGGTCAAGCCTAGCTTCTTGATGCCCCACTCCACAACCTGAATGAAGGAATCAGACAACAGATGCTCACTATTCCACAAAAGCAGAGATGGCTGAAGGCAAAGGAGAGATTTTACAGGGCTCATTGAGGAAATCACCTGCTGCAGAGGACTAGTGGTTAAAACCTCAGACAGAATTTGGAGAAATGAGACATAATTTTAAATGTGCTTAGTGTGTTCATAAAAAAATAATCGGGGCCTTTCAAAGTACATAATCTTATTCTAAATGACGGCAGAGGCCCATCACCGTCGGATCAAACGACTCCTATTATCAACTTTGGCATGCTATCGACCCCCATGCAACTGTCCCAACTACGAACAAGAGAGACACAAGCAAAACATTTCTCAAAATGTGAAAGAGACTGGTCTCCAACCAGTACGCATTGGTACGGGTTGTGAGTAGATAGTCCGGCACCCTGACCCACTTACCCTCTTGATGTCCTCTTCGGGTACCCCTCGAAGTCTGGCATAGAATGCCAAGTGTTCCTCCCCGGTCAGGAGCTCGTTGAGGGCGTCAAACTGCGGGCAGTAGCCCACGCTATGACTGATGCGCTTCATGTCTTGCAGGATGCTCAGACCGTTGATGTAGGCGCAGCCCGAGGTGACCTGGGTGTCGCCGGTCAGCATGCGGAATGTGGTGGTCTTGCCAGCTCCGTTGACTCCCAGGAGGCCGAAACACTGTCCATGCCAGAAGCAGTCATGGCAGAATTAGCCGCTTAAAATGACAGTGATTTCTGTTCTAACAATGTTTCAGTTGCAGACACAGGACACATTTTGCAAGATTACAGATCTCTTGCTTTATCCCACGTAGGAGGTGGAAGGTGTGGCCTTCACATTTTCTTTCATGACAGGTTATTTCATGAGTAAGCCCAGCTATAACACATTTTCCAAAAGCTTTTTGGTGAGTGATCTACAATTTACACAACCAAGACGACAATTTCAAATTGCAGATAACCAATGCTAACAAAGTCTTAATCCCCAAGTTTCAATCTTCTGGCTATGCTATTGTTTGTTTCTGTAAAACAAGCAATGAAGTCTGTGGCTTAGCTAGAAAGTACTGAATAATAATTTGACATCATTTGACAATCCTCCTTTTTGGCACTTACCTCTCCTCGTGGAATACCGACACACATCCTGTCTACAGCTCGACAGATACCTCGACTTGTGTTGAAGTCCTGGAACAAGAAGGAAGGTTCATATTTGTTACACAATTACACAAACAAAAAGTGGCAAAGGAAAGCGATTTACTGGTAAAACCAATCGAATCAAAGTTGCAAGCAAAATAACAAATTACAATGATGCTTAAAGGTGTTATTTGCGTCAAATTCACTTGACGCTTTTCGAGCAACTAAGCCTCAATGTGTCCTCTTTTGAACCTGGTACGACAAGCTCAAGGTTCTTGAGCCTGTGGGAATTTAGAGGGTGTGTCCTCGGGCAAGACACTCTGCCACAAGTTGTCTCTGCCAATCAGAGAGTAAAATTAGTGCCGAAAAGGATGGACTGTGCTTGAAATGACAGTGTAACCATCATCCCTGGGACCCGAGACGGTCTCAGGTATGTTTTCAGGGCTCGATGGGCCGGGATATTAAAAAATAAGAACTGTAGTAATCATATTACCTTGGTGAGGTTCTCCACACGGACCACGTCATTTTGAGCTCCTCCTGACAGCACCCGGTGTCTCTCCCTCACCACATCATCGTCTTCGTAAGCTAGAGGCGTTTGCTCTGCCTTGATTAGCCTATAGACAAATCCCATTGGAGGAAAAGACATTTTGAGAAAGCCCCATTTCAAATTGAATTATGCAAGTGGTGCAGAAACAATTGTTCTTACAGACTGTAAATCCGACAATCAGAATTAGAACCATGACTGCGATGGCACTGAGCTCGTTATGCAGGTGGTGCAAACATGTTAAATCTATCTGTCTCTTTGACCAACAGGTTGAGATTTTCCAAAATATACATGGGTTTCATGCTTGAGAAAATGTGACTTTGGTACCAATGCAAAAATAGGCAAGTTCAACCAAGGACCAAAGTTGATCATAGTTCAACTAACTCTCATCGAACACACACAAGTCCATGATGGTTGGACTAGTCTAGTCAACTATTCGCGACCAGCCTATAGAGGTTGGTCGCATCGCTGGTTGCCATAAAGCGTTTTAATAGCACAGTGCAGAGAGAACCAGTTATAAGAAAAATGCCTCACAAACAGTATGTCACTAGTACATGACCATTTCCACTTTTATTTTTGTTTCTTTGCTCGTCCTGCGGCCCCCTTTTCTCCCCTTTGGCCTAACGACCTGACAACATTTGATGAGTGTCACACAATACCGCTGCAGGCTAATCTGGCCCCAATTGAACAGGTCAGCAGCACACTTTGCCAGTTTCATGAACAAAAGAAAATTCAAGGCGGCAGGCCTGGCTGAAATACTCCTGTGTCAATAGATGCTGTCTGTCAGATTAGAATAGAAACCAGACAGTCCTTTGTGTGGGTGTATGTGTCGAGTAAATGAAGATATGAATTTTTAAAGAATTTCGAAAACAGAAAAAAATGATCGTCATCCCGTCCCAGCATCATCAACATCGATAACTGCCACTAGCAATGGCAAAAGCCTGTTAAATTAAACTGATTCAATGGGTAATCTACTGACTACTGGAAATAAGGCTAGGTGAACTTATCATCTGGGGCTGAAACTCAATACAACTGCACAAGAACTACATAAAGATGGGCGAAAATTATTGCATTCTGCAAAACTGTGACACAATTCCTTTTGGAGAAACGACGTTTTAAGATGAACTGTACCGGGACTTGAGGAAGAACTTGTGCTCTATGAGCAAGGTCAGAGCAAAGAAAGCAGCACCAGTCATCCCCAGGGCAAAGATGTTCTTGCCGACCAAGTCCCAGGCCAAGACGTTGGTTGGAGCAGGGTCCGATTCTAGCAAGTTCTCTGTGGAGAAACAAAAAATGAAGGACATGTAAACTGAGTAATGCTTAGAAGGTCATTTGATTCTGTTGAAAATATGCCATACAAATAAATGAGGAAAAATGGAAGTTGCTAGTTTAACCAGATGCTATCGAACTGTAAATGTCCTTGTTCAAATATGCCACAGTCCTTGATGTCAATGGAGTTAGAACCACGATGATTCTAAGATGTGAAAGCCTGTCAATGTTGGATTTTAAAAGGGTCTTCTTACGGAATTTGCTCTCGACTTCTGACTGCAGGGAGACATTGGACATCTGCATCAACCCCTGGCCCAGGCAAAAGGGAGGGAATATCAGAAACAGTTTCTTCAAGCTCTCGTTGGTGCTCATCAAGTTCTGGAAATACAAGGCAACAATGCAGCTTTGAAAGAATTTGATTTGCATGTGACAACGCATTTAGATTTTGTTGACAATTTTCCACTTTTCCTTTAAGCTTTGTCCACAAGTCCCTCTTTAACAGAGGCAAAGACAGAAGCTTGACTGACGAAACCTACGCTGTGGAAAAGTGAAAACTGCCAAAACTTCACACAAGTGCTGTGGTCAAGTCTGCCAGACATCTCTGCAAGTCTGTCACAAGCCATCCAGTCTTTTATAAGCCTAGTCACAAGCTACATGTATTCATGTGGCATTTCTCTGTGACTGTTCACCCTATAAGCCAGTGACAGGTCAAAACAATTAACTTTTGACTGGAATTGCGATGGGCTTAACTACAGAGTGGCGGGCTCACTTTTACATGGAAACAAATTCAAAGTAAATACAAATTACTCACAGACCTGCGACACAGCTTAATTCATGCACCAAACATAAAGACAAAAAGACACACCCAAACACAAGGTCTCATTCACAACACAATTCACGAATCTACTCATAAAACTGAGGAGAAAGTGGTTTTTAAACCTACACTGTCATCCATTCCAAGGAACTCCAGGATAAACGTTGTCATGATGGTAACGATGCCAATCAGCATATTGGCACAGGCCATGGAGAGATACGCTGTGCTGGGCGTGGAGAAATAAAATGATGCAGGGTAGGACATCGGTGTGATAGCCCAGCTGCAGGCAGAAGAAAAAGCGACAAACATTGACACAAATTCTGGTAGTATGTTTCTGTTTGTTTGTTTGTTTGTTTGTTTGTTTGTTTGTTTGTTTGTTTGTTTGTTTGTTTGTTGGGGTGTTGGGTTGTTTGTTTGTTTGTTTGTTGGGGTGTTGGGGTGTTTGTTTGTTTGTTTGTTTGTTTCTTTGTTTGAGACGGAAAACAGAGGTCCAGAGTGTCTCATTTCAATTTTGGGTAACTTAGAGAGACAACCACTGCCAATCGCTGGTCTATTTTGCCTGGTACCCCGGATATACCTTACGCAGAGGTTGCCAGGGAAAATCAACTAGAAGTCAACAGTTGCTCGAACTTGGCCTTACTTTTTAAAATGTGTTTCTTTTCCTATTGGGGTGAGTTTGATCTCGGCATTTGCTAGTGAACCAGGTTTTAAGGAAAACCAAAATTCAGCTACCATGAGCAGAAATTCATTCGAATTTGCAGTACACAAGAAGTGAAAAGAAAACGAACTGCAAGATACAATGTTTCTCTATTGACGTTTCTCTCATTGCTGACATCAACCAGTCCAATTTTGGAATGGTCTGGTTGTGGACTCACCCATACATCAGCAGCAACAGGATCGTAGCTGGCAAGGCTTCCGTACCGATATAAGCCTTCTGACTGAAGCATCGGAACACCAATATGGTCAAAACGACCGGAATCAAGAAGTTCATCTGGGAAAAAAAAATTGGAAATGGGTACATCTTGGTAAAAAGTTATCCAAACAAGGACTGAATAGTGACTTTGATGGTGGCTCTCTGCTATCAAGTTATGAGCACAGCAATCTGTATCATAACAAAGATAAAACATCAACTAAGAAAAGTTGTGACGGCCCTGGTCTGCTTGGGGTTTGACCCTGGACACGAGCTCACTAACTCACCAGGTCCCAGAGGAGCGTGGACACCCAGTAGGTGGTAGGGCTGATGCCGCTGACAAACTGAAGATGTTTGGACTTGGACTCTCGCTCCGTGACCAGAAAGACCACAAAGCTTGCGGGTACAAAGGCCAGGGCAAACACAACAAATATGGCTGTGCTCATGCTGATGGGTAGCTCCTTCCTGGTTTGACCAAAGGAGGGAAGGTCAAAGAGGTAAAGTACAGTGTAGGACCTAGACTCCCTACAGGAACAGTATGGGTAGCAGCTATGTGCTACATGCAGAGGGCATCAAGGAACCAGACCAATTTTCATCTCAATGTGCACAAATTATGGCACAGATCTTTGCACAGGAATGAACATGAACTTTTTTTTTTTCAAAAGTTAACAAGGTAGTCCTGTTTCGAATCCATAACAGGTCAAAAAGTAGCATCTGATAGACAGTACAGACGCTGCTCTCAGCTGAACAAAATTAGAACAAAGTTTATTTCCCATTGTCTTTAAAATGTCAGCCATCATGAAACGCTCATAATGTTGTTTTTTTTTTATACATTTTCTTTTTATGAGTCATCGTTGGATTAAACAGACGTTGCTGGACCAACCAACTCACATGATAATATCTTGGAGTTCGTCGCTGGTTAGGTTGATGGGGTAGTTGTAGGTAGTGATGCCATATTTGTGTCGCTCCGACTCGTCCATGTTGCCACGGAACAGCATGTTGTTGGCGACGTTGATGAAGGCCGGAAGGGCATGGTAACCGTTATTGTCCCACCACACCTAGCAAAAGGGGCAAAGAAATTACCACTCAAATCTGGTGAAGTAATTGCCATATTTGTTATAATATCATTGTTTCATTGTGCTTGCACTAAGCGCGTCTAATAAAGTGGCCCTAAACCCATAGCATCGACAACCCGGGGATCCCGATTAAACTGGATAGCTCGGTAGTGCACTGGTGAAGTATATGGAAGTCGGAAGGTTCAAATCAAATTCAGCCACTATTGGATTAAAATGACCACAATATACAAACTACCAGTACTTAAACAAATTAGTCATTCTTACAAAAAGTGTACACCTCCTATAAGCCTGATGAGGAGTAAAAGAAAACATGAAATTGGAATCTGAAAACAATTTGAAGGGTCAATCGTTTACCTTGACGTTTTTGAAGCGAGCAAGGGACAGCATCACAGCATAGATATCCTCCATGGTTATGTCTGAGGGTACCAAGTCCTGCTCAGAATTGGAAAAACAAAAGATTGACTAAAAATTGAATGCTATCAAAGAACTTCACCCATCCCTCTGTGACTAATTATTATTAGAAACTTGCACGGCTTAACCAAATCAATGTTTCAAACCGTTGAGGGTAATTTCTGTACAAACAAACCACTAGGGTTGTGCTTCAGCGTAAAAACGAGATCAACAGACGGCCAAGATTATGATGAAGAAATCCAGAGGTATTTCTAGGGAGGTCTCAGGAGCAATGAGATATACAATGTTTTAGGAGAGCTGAGAATTTCTAATTCTAGAAGGATGCCCAAATAATACCCAACAATTTGACTCTCCACCTCTGAAATCAGCCGACATGCCTTTTCCTGATCAAGAATAGCTTTTGGGCATATTCACATGTAAGGGCCACAGATGCCCCAAACTCGAATCACAACGTGAGCGCAGGCACAAGGGGGCAGCACTAACGTTAAGGAAACAAAAAAGGCACTGCACGGGGATGTCATAACAAGTTCCAACAAGAGGATTGTAGTCTTGAATGTTTGATTTCTCAAATTGATCTCACGTTAATTGGGCCAGGGAGATTGATGTCCGATGAGCCATCCGTCTTGGACCAGTCAGCCAGCAAGTCTTTGCTGATGTTTGGAGTGAGAGGGGCCAATTCGTCTGTGTCCAGGAAACTTACTCCTCCAAATCTGATTGGACACAAGTGTTTCTCCCTTTTTATTTACGGCAAATTAAAGCATTTCAATGCAAGTGTAGAAAGGTTCATGGTACATAACCCTCCACATGTTCCTACCAGCTCTAAGATGCTCTGAAGACAATGATGCAATTCCATGCAGACAATCTACAGGGCTTTTTGTGTTTTTTGCAAATAAAAAGAATAACTAGCAGGTAAAGAAAAAGAAAACTGCAGATTAACTACTGTCACAAAATCACATTGGCTGTCAGCTCTAACACGGTCTGTTACCATTGCAATGACACACAGGACTGGACAAGTCCTACCTCTTCCAGATGTAGTCTAGGGTGGTGGTCGTGAGGAACCAACTGATGTTCATGCCTGTGTAGTTCTGGAGAATATCTGTGGTGGGGACTGTCCGTTCCGGAGGGGGCGGGCCCTCCGCCCCTTTATCGCACGTCTGAAACGATTTACCACTGCACTCACACGTCAATTCCCCATTCAGGTATTTTTCATAAAGGTCTGGGTCCATCTGCTCAGTTGACCAATCGGTGGATGATTTGGGCTGACAGGGGAAGCCACTTCGCAAGAAGAGAAATGTTCAATATTAGAGATTGAGTTGAAAGACCAATTTGTTGAAATAAAAACAATGAATCTATTTTGGTGAAGGATTATCTTGAAAACTGCTCCTCTAATTGAAGTAGGTAACAAACAGGTATTTTGAAAATGATGCCTCTTACACAACACCCAAATTAATCCTTTTCATAAAAGGAAAATATTGAGCAGACAGTCACAATCTAAGACCTGGATCTGTTGAAAGAGCTTTTCACAAAGCCACAAATTTTTGAGGGATGAAGGCATGGATCAAATACCAAAATACTATTTTTGCTCATATTCAGACAAATTCCGCTTCAAAGTTGATCAAGATATGTTCTCTCAACTTGAAGTGTATCAGACACTGAAAATCTCAAGCAAGATGGGCAATCAGAATGGTGGGGCGGATATCACAAATCCCCTGCATGTTGTGAGACATTCTGACTTGTGCTGAAGCTGGCCCGATACTCAACTCCCCAATCACTGCACAAAATTTAATCTAAAATCTGAGCAACTAATGCCAAGAAGAAGTTAGATACACCGTTTGAAACCAATTGATTCCATTTGTACTCACTCTTCTGTAAATGGGTCCTCGGCCATGCACCGGGTCCCTATACCAGGCTCGTCCAGGGTTATGCTAGCCTCCATTCCAGTGGACAGCTTGTCACCGGGGTTGTCATTGCTGTAGAAGACATAGTTTGGGGTACCGGTCAGCCAGGGCAGCAGCGGGAGCTTCTTGGTGTCGGTCTTGGGCGGCATGAGGACAGTGAAGAGCATGGCAACGCAGACGAAGACAACAGGCAAAATAACCTGGAGAAAAAGAAAAAAAAAATCCAGAATTCAAAATTCAAGGTTTGAGAAAGCATCTCCCAACTTCCTATAAAGTTTTAATATCCATTTTCTCTTCCTAATTTTCTGAGTTCAGAAAATCTTGGGCGTCAAGTAGACAGACTTAACTTGCAAAAGATAACCTGCAGCTGTAGAAGTTTAGAGATGCAACTCTTTCTTGGAGAGCCTCAAGAGTAGATAAATGCCACGAGTAAACCTGTATTCTGCATCTTCACCAGAGATACAGTATCAGAGCAGGAGCAGTGAATCAGGACAGTTTCTTGATGATGACCAATTGGGGTCAAGTCAAGCATTCCCACCAACGGATGTACAGACCAGTTCCTGGTCCTTACTTTATTGGCTGGTATCTATTGTATGGGGGAGGTGGGAACCAGCCGAGCACATAGAGGCATTTGTGCACATAAAATGAACTTCAGAAATCAGAATGGACGGAAAGACAAACTGCTAAGATGCATAGCAACAAGTACAACCTCATTTTACAAGGTTGCACAGAATGAAGGAAGCATCCGCAAAACCACTGTTGGTAGTAACACCCACAAGTCTCTGGATCTTGGTTGTAACCACTACCTACGGGCTTCCATATGCACGCATGTTATTGCCAGCTACGGCCAGAACGTTCAATCACAGCTTCTGTTTTTCTAACTGACCTGAGCAAAGAAACCTTTCTTGCTCCGTCGGAAGTGATGGAACCTCTTGACCAGGAGTGCATAGAACTGTCTTCGGATCAGGTTGATCCCATGTACCTCATGACCAGACAAGTCAGCAGCATGAACCCTGCAACTCTCAGCGTCCGGTGTCCGAACATCAGAGATGGAGACTAAAAACAACAAGACGGAAGTTTGAATTGACATGTTATCAATAAAAAGATATTTCCTTCTCAATCGATTTATGTCTGCTTCAAGAATCCTGCTGTGTTGAGAAAAATTTATAGATGAAAAAAATTGTCAACATTAATGCGTCCTGACTTGGGATTTTAAAAAGTGAGCTTTCCTCTAAACTGTAAAACTGAGCATCTCTTCGCCATCATTTTTTTAAGGTGTGTTTAGGCTTTTCTTATTTCACAGTCCACAAGGGTAAACCACATTTCAACATCACCAGAAAATTGAATGCATACAAGAGCGCCCACCATGTTGCAAAGGTTACACAGATGGAATTACACAGAATTAATGTAAATTTCCTTCACTATCCATCATCACCGCGTGACTACTAACATGCATTTATAATAAAATGTCTTTATAAGAAACACATCTAAAATCATCTTAGCAAAACAATTCTTCTACAAGCACCAGAATATCCAACAATTTGATTAAAGCTGGAAGATAAGTATACAGAAATGACTCTCAAACAAAACCAACAAAAAGTAGCACTTGATGAGCAACCAAACATTTTCTTTCAAAGGAGTGTAGAGCCCACCATTCATGCATTATTCATGAAGCTGAAATGTCAGTACAACATGTAGAGCACAACAGGATTCACAACCGACAGTCTCTGACAACTTTTCTTATTCATCTAACAAGAAGCCATTTTGACAAAGTCCCTGAGAAGATCCATGGAACGTTCTACACCTTCAAACCCAGCACCCATAAACTCACAAGTTTTATGTACACATGCTAAATGTATGCAGACGTAAATGTACACTCAGATTTTGTGAGATCTTGAATTGTGTGTGAAATGCACTTGTACAATGCTCAAATATCTAAAATTGCGGCTTTGTGAATCTGCAATATTCGGAGGATGTTCACGTAGAGGTGTGTGTTGGAATCTGCACTCCTTTGAATCAAATTACGCGATGTCAGCTGTGATTTTATACTGTGTTCTACGCGAATCATTCCAAAGGGTTCATGCCAGACTCCCACTACCGAGCAAAACCTGCGACACAGAACTTTGACTAGATGATCACATTCTGAAGAAATAGAAATTGGAACGGCACAGGAAGAGGTTGAGGGCAGGATCGTCAAAGTTGAAAAGTTTGAGTCTTTTCTTTGCTCACTTGACAGAAAGGCAGTGTTGTTTAGCTTGAATATTTTAGGAAGACATCGGTTTGCTGAAGACTGGATTTAGTACTTGCGCTGTAGTTGTGTCATTTGGACAAGCTTGTTAGGAAATAGCACGGACAAGATTTTTGAGAAGAAGTGGAATATTTCCTCAGCTCACGTTAAGGACTAAGTACAGAGACGCATAATGAGGACTGCCACAATGTATGACAGTTATGCTTTTTTCTCTTGAGAGGAAATCAAGAGTATACAAAATACAGCGCATCTTCAGGCCCGGCATGTACTGGGACATGTTCTGAAGGCGAGAAGGCAAGCACATCGACAGTAAAACTACAAAGAACTGGACGATCCCGCCCTCCTTTGATGAATTTTAAAGGAAGTGTCCAGATATGTTGGCAAACATAATGATGCGGAACACCTGAGACTTTTGATAGTGCAGATGGGATGAATGTGATCTGTATTCGAGGGACCACTACAAGAAATGTGAATAGATTACCTAGATCGAACGCCCACAAAACCGCTCAGTTTTTCAGCTTCCTTTTCACACAAACATTTCAACTTCAGTGACGCATTTCTTTAGAATTTCGTTTTCTAAGAAGTCAACACATTTTGACTAAAATGACATGCAAAGTCAGAAAGCAAGGACACTGTCATCTGACACATTGTCATTGTGCAGGTCACACACTCTGAACCATGGCACCAAGAACATGCAGGACCTGAGAATGGCAGGAATTACTGCGGTCATCTACATGAATGACAACCAAGGCCGAGGGAAGGACATTGGCAGACCAATACCTTCAGTGGGTACGGCACGGAATCTCGGATGTAATAATGACTGGACGCGTGTGTACAATGAGGGGGACTCTACCACGTCCACATCTGAAAGGTAATGTGATGGTTATTGGAAAAGAACGAACATGAGTGAAATTCTGGAAAAATACTTCACCAAGTGAGGGTAATGTCTCAGAAATATGAAAACAGAACACAGACATTGATACATATTATAAAAATGGACCAATTCTGAGTCAATCTAAAAAAATATTGAATTACTTCCAGACCTCACGGAATTATAAAAGGAACTGCAACTATGAATTGATTAGATGGTAATAATTATCACTGAACTTGGAAAAAAGCTGGATGGCAAATACAAACACTGCTGGTTTGCCGATATTCAAAATAAATTACTAACACTGAGTTTACAGAAAACATAAAGACAAAAGCAGTGACAAAAATTCCCAGCAATCAAACAGAATTCCAGGGAACTAGAATGATAACCACAAGGCTGACACAGTGAGATGTGACGACATGCTGGACGAGTTTGGTTTGAACACTTGCAACTGAAAACACAAAATGAAATCAGAGGACTCAGACAGCCAAACTGATGAACAGTCAGACGGTCAACGAAAATGGGATGATTACAGGTAAGACTTACCGTTGGCTTGCTGGTTCATAGCGGCTTCACGGCTCGCCTGTCTCATCAGGCGTCGGCTCAACTGCCGACTGAGCTGGCGTTTGACCCTTGGGTGGAGGGATTGCTGGACTGGCTGATGACCCGGGTTCTGATCAGGGTTCTGACCACGGTTCTGGCTGGGCTCTTGGCTTACTTGATTGTCTTCCTTATTGCTGGCAGGCTCATTTCCATCTGTGCCGTCAGCGTCGAGGTTGATGCTGTGTAAACTGTGAATGTCTTCTTCAAGCTCTTGATGGGCATCGTCAAGCTCTGTTAGAAGATGGTAAAAACACTTTTTCAGCCAGGTTGGCCCACAATGAAACAAGAACAATAACTCAGCTACATGCTTTAATAAACAAGCCAACAGCTGGGTCCATGTTCAAAGAAACAAACACTGAGACGCAAATATAGTGAATTGGTATTTACATGACGTTAAGTTCACGTCTTTCAAATACAATATTTGATAATTCTCAACTGCTCTAGATTTCAGAACTGAAGACAGAACTGAACTGGCCATCAGTACGGCAGAAAGATAACACTTCAGAAGAAGGTATGAATCCTTTGACTGTAAAAATGCTCTAGTCAAACGGATTGAGTTCACTTGAACCTACCATCCACATCAACCAAAGCCACATTGTCGGCTGTCGACCGCTTACGGCTGCGTTGCTCCCTGATACTGTTGCTCCTTGCCGGGAGTTCATAGCTCCGCCTCCTAAGGCTGCCACGCCCCATGAACGGCCGTGGCAGCAGGCCGTTGTCAGAGGACTGGAAGGTTTCAGCCTCATAGAAGATACCTGTGTCATCGGTGACAGACAGGAAAACCTGGAGAAGGGTGTCAGATGGGAGAGATGTATACAGGTCCATTATTTTCTTTTAAGTGGAGAGGACAGAATTTACTTTGAGGACACTACACTGCCTTTATTTCATCTGCCCCAAGCTTACGCCGTTGTGTATCATATACTGGCCTTCCAGATGTACTTGTATAATGAACAGTGAAGGACTGGTAAATGTATGCAGTAGGTCTAACATGAAGCTCAACAATCACTTCTCTGATTCAAACACTTGGTGGCGCACTCCGCTGAGAGTCAATGCTACTTGTGAGCATATGCAGAATGAGAATACCAAGTGGTAATGTCAACATGTTGGAAGTATTTCTTCCAAGTTATCACCAGTAGTTTCATTATTTACAGTTGGTTTACAGTGACAAAGGACATGATTGTTATAGTTGAGCCTTAAGATTCGCTTGTCATGATATATAAATGTGAACCAATTGCAATTACACGTAAGTGAAACAGTAACCAACCTCTTCCAAAGAGGTGTCAGAGATGCCAAAGTCACTGATGAAGAGGCGTTCCTTGTAGATCTCTAGCTCCTGGAAGAGTGATTCCAGGGCATTGTAGTGAGTGGCTCCGGCGGGGAGGATGTAGGACAATTCCTTGCCGAGATTCTCGCAGAGCACTGCGCCGGGAACGTAGCTCTGAACAAAGCTGGTCACCACAGATTCCTTGCAAGAGCCACAGTCTGGCAAAGGAAAAGTTCAAAAAAGTTTGCTCCAACTATTTTCAACATCTTTTGATGATAATAAGTTTGTCACTTGCCTTCATGAGTGATTATTTCGAAAGATGGATCAATTGTTCAACTCTTTCCTCAATAAGCCAGGATGACCGGAATAGAAACATTTTCATACACCCCCCAGATTTATCCATCAAAGTTTTAGTCAGTGAATCTTCTGGAGATTTTGACACGAGGACAGAGCATAATAATTCAGCATTTTAGTCTTGGATGAATAACTGCAATATTAAGTCTACTAAACGGGCATGAGAATCTGTAACGTTGAGAGCAGAGCAAATTCAGCACACTTCAGAGTACAATCCATGCACACCATGGGCACAGTGCGCATTATGCAGGACTACATGTACCTCCTAAAATGCCCCTCCATCAGGTACCCAGCTTGAAGTCAGTGACCTTTGGAATTACCTGGTATATCAATGGGTGGCTTGTCCTTCTTGTGCCTCAAATCATCATCAGTCGACTCCAGAGCTACTTTCATCTGAGAAAAAAAAAAGTAAATTCAATTCTTACAAACGTGCAAATCTAACATAGTAAGTGCTGGAGAATTTTAGCCTGAGATACGTATGAGAAATATATAATTCAGCATCACAGTATGAGTGCCTTGGCATTCGCATCTGCATTTCAGTTTCTCCAACCTGCGAAGGCTCGACTAGATCCAAATCCATCTCCTTCTTCTCATCGCTGGGTAGATTTGTCATCGCCCCGGCAACCAGATCCGGGCCGACCATGGGACCAAAGCCTCCATTTTGGAGCCCGGCATTGTACAGCATCGGGTCGGTCATCTGTGGCGGAACCATGAGGTCATCGCCGGGCAGACGCTTGTTGAGGACCAGGTAGTAGCCGACTCCAAAGCGGCTCTTGAGGAAAAGAGACGAGCCAGAGCAGCGCAGCTGACCAGAGGAGATGATCGCGATGCGGTCACCGAGGACGTCCGCCTCATCCATGTGATGGGTGGACATGATGATGGTCCGACCTGCCAGAGAGATGGACACAACCCTTGAACCACCACCGCGAGATTTCTGTTGACCACTGTTATAGTCAAGCTAGTCACAAGTCCTTTCACAATGCCAGTCACAGTATTACAAAAGGATAAACAACAAAGGTATGCCTTTGTCACATTTCACTCGAATAAATTATGACTTGATGACTCGGTTTGCAGAGACTTGTGAGGGAATCAACCACAATGCTGCAGACATCTCTTATGTAATTTTCATGATTTTTTTAATAACCATTCTAAATCATTTCAACGACTATAATGCCATTTCCTACCTTCCTTGTACTTGCTGAGCAGATCCCAGATCTCCCGCCTAGCGTAGGGGTCAACTCCAGCCGTTGGCTCGTCCAAGATGACCGTCTTGGATCCAGCCACAAACGCCATGGCAATGGAGAGTTTGCGCTTCATGCCACCTAAAAAAATAAATACATTTTTCTAGAAAACTGTCGAAGAAGAACTTGGTCTATCCCCAGATGTTGTCCACAAACAAAAACCCTCTGGTAAAATGGGTTATCATAGAACATTTTCTGATCTCTTGAGTGAATAGGAAATTTAACGCTCATGGAAAGATCTACAGACTGGGAGTTCTGATCCAGGGATATGTCTTTGAGCAAAGTGCTCTGCAAGAGATTGAAGATTGTGGTATGTTTGATGAGGCTCTGTGTACCAAGATGACAACTTCAATCTAGCTGTGCTCTTTCTATGGAGCTGAGACTCACTTCACTCTGAGCCAAACATCAAAAAACAAAAACAGTTTACAAATTTGCTCCGAGGCTTAGGGCTGTCAGACTGCTAATCTTACCGGAGAGATTGGCAGTCAACTCCTTCCTCTTATGAGGCAAGTTGAGATGCTTTAACATCTCCTCCATTTCCACGGCAATCTCATCATTGGTTGCTCCTTTCACCCTCGCATAAAACCACAGGTGCTCCTCCACAGTCAGGCTGTCAATAAAAAAAAAAGAGTGGTTAAAATACTTCAACCCAAGATAAAGAAACCGTGTTACTCAAACACAACACCTCAACTGGTTGTTTTCTTATTCAATCACAAATCCAAGACTAAAGACTTCTGAAAGGAGTCAATCCACTCCTCTTGTACTGTTTTGTAGGTTTTCCACGATGACGTTTCCTGCGGCCGTGTTTTACCGCAGCAATGAGACACTCACTAGTCAAAGAGCACGTTGTGTTGGGGACACATCCCAAGACTCTTGCGAATCCTGGTGATATCTGTCAGTATGTCTTTGCCGTAGATGAACGCCGTACCAGCCGTGGGAGGGAACAGCCCCGTCAAGATAGACCTGATGTTAAAGAGAACAGGTTGCACAGAAATACAAATCTCACAAACTTTTGTTGAACACATTCGGACAATAGTTACTAGATTCGAGGCTTAACAGTCTAAGTTGGTGGATCCCAAACCATGCAGAAGTTACAAGAAAAAGAGTCTTATCTAGTGGAATTGGTGGAATTATCCGCGCTGAGCTGAAGTGCACCCTCACTGACTAAAGAAAGACGGATGGTACTAAGTTTTCCAAGTGGGTTCTAGCAAAAATCAACGATATACCCTACAACTTAGAAGAGATTTCAATGCCAATCTTAAGAAATATGGACTGGGATCAATGCTTCTCAACCCTGCAAAATTGTCCCAAAACAATAAAGTTTCAAAGGTTTGGTAGAGTTGGAATTAGTGACTGATACTGTCTTCCAATGTTACGACTGCCGTCTGCTCCAGGGGTACGGCAGGTATCACTTACATGGTGGTGGTCTTGCCTGCCCCATTATGGCCAAGGAAGGAGGTGATCTGGCCCTCGTAGAAGTTGAAGCTGAGGTCATTGACAGCCAGTTTCTTGCCAATTCGGTAGATTTTGTACAAGTTCTTGATGGAGACACCAAGTTTCAGGTGTGTCGGTTCTCGCTCAAAGTCGGTATCCTCTGAAAGGTTGGAAGAGAATTTCAAGTAACGACAGTTTCAGTTTAGGTTTTGACAATCAAAATAATTCTTTGAGAATAGGGGAATAAAAGTGTGATAGAGCAGTGGTGCTAAAACCAGACAGGGGCCTGGCAATGATAATGGACCATTCCAAGGACACTGACTTATGATGACCTATTAAGACTGGTTGACCAACTTGAGAACATTTACCAACATCACTGATGATAACTCAAGTCAAATAAGGCAACGTGATCTTTTATTGAATAGTCTGGTACCTGTTGGAATGCCATTGCTTGATGTTGTCTGCAGCAAATCAGCATCTTGAGTTTCCACGGTGTCGGAACCACACCAGTAGGATCGTTGGAACGGGAAGTACCATCGGCGAGGCATGCCGTAGGCACCTACAGGAAGAGAGACAGACACCAAAGGTGAAAAGACCACACCAGTCCGAGCCCCAAACTAAACCGAGTCTACAGACTGATCTCAGGAGATAGCATTATGGCAGGAGGCACAACGCACATGGCGTGTTTTTACACTTAGGGCTTACACATTTTGGCAAGTTCAACCACCAACATACATGAACCACGTGACCACAAGCGTGGTGCCATGGCAGTAACGGCTTTTAATTCTGGTTCCTACATTAGTTTGTAAGGACCATGACTGTGTTGTGTCCTTTCAATGAGCAGAAAGGTTTATGTGTTTGGATAGCCAGTGGGAAATTTACCAAGGAGTTCAAGTCAGTGTCCCCTATCATGACTTAAATTCCCACCTGCACCTATCATCAAACTGAATACTCTCTGAATGTCTTCTTTTTCAGGTTTAATATCGACTGTTACTTTTGCATGCTGGGTGGACTTAGAGAAGAACACGACAGCCCTAGTTTATCATCGGTGTCACCGTCATTCATTATCATTATCAATGTAATCCCACACAACACAACAGCACATTAATCAAACATCGCAACTTCACACAAACTTCCAAGACCCAAAAACGAGTACGGTTTGACCCCTCGACGAAAATCGACACCCACGGAAAGTTGGCACAAGCTGCTGCCCCAATGGCCTGCCTTCAAGTGTTGTTTCGACCCCTGTTTCGTACCTGGAAACACTGCCTCGATGTACCACGTCAGCACCATGTAGAGGAAGGCATCAAACCACATCATGGTGATGACTTGTTGCGGTGTCAACTGCTCCCCCGCCGAGGCTGGGCTTACCCCGAGATTGCCCCAGGTTAACCCTGACCCCTGGATCTCAAAGAGGGCGATGTACTGGCTGCCATAACCAAAAGCGATGGTGTTGGACAGACACTGAAATAAAACAAAGGCTTGGACTTATGCCTGATAACTGGCTAGCCTGAAATATTTTAAAACGACACGTATGCAAGCACTTTAACCTTATAAACTGCTTTGTTCTTCGGAGTTCATCTTCGACAAATTTTGATCAGAAATCTGATCAACAGGTGATTTCACCCGGTAACCTATGCACAAAATATATCATCCTGGGTACCAGGGCTTAATAATCCCCAGCAACTCTGTGCTACAACTACATTTGCTTCTTGGTAGCTCTAGACCGTAAGCTAATACGTGGAAAACATATCCCCTTCACACATGTATACATGTATCAAACAGCTTAAGTAAATGCACAGCATACTATCAATTAATTACCAGTATTGTGACAATTATATGGGATAGAAGGCACAGATTAAGGTACTGCAAAGGAAGAGATTGTCTTCTCGCCTTACCATGAATAGTTTAGCCCAGCCTGGGATGTATTCATCCCACGAGTACACCATGCTGTAGGGCACATAGGAGAGAAAGAAGAAGACAGCTCCACAGGCGGCTGACAGATTGGCCTTGGAGAAGAAGGTACTAACGAGGAAACAGAGAGCAATGGTGGAGACACTGAAGGAGACCAGCATCAGGAGAACCACTGAGGCGTCGGCTTGGATCGTAATCTTGCCAACCTGGCAGAGGAAAGGGGACAAACCTAGTTACTGAATAAGCCTCAAGGTTTACTTCCCCTTTAAAAGGGAATCTATATCACAGACCTGCCTGAATAGAAGTAATTGTTGAGGACCAGACATTTTGGCACCACATATCATGGCAAGATCTGAGAAGAGCACAGCTGGCCATTTCTGTTATGTACCATACTCGGGACTAATCTTAAATAAACTAATTCAAGGTTGTGCACATTTGGTTGAATACTGACAACATAAAATCTCCAGCGTCTGCGAGCACACACTATGCATCCTTGCTTGATGCTCCTAAGTAGGCCACAAAGTACGATCGGCAGTGGGTATGCTGGCATAAACAAAACAGACAGATGGACAAACCAACAGACCTCATACCTTGAGAATCAGGACCAGCAGACAGCTACTGATGAACATGACCACAAAGCTGTTGATGAACCAGGCCACCCAGTGCACGGCGTTGCCCATGCCCATCACCTTCATCACTTCCTTGAGACGAAGCTCCTTCTCCAGGACGATGCCCTTGATGATCATGGCCACGGAGAACAGCCAGGCGATGATCATGAGAAGTGGCAAGATGGCGCCCAAGGTCTGTACAAACCTGAATGAAAGAGGCATCCCAAGGTATATGGTTAAAACCAGCCCATCTAACAGCCGGTTTGGCAAATACCCTCACTCTAACACCTGGTCATTTCTGTTCAAAACTTGCCTGAACCTGAAGAATTTGACTGCACACTCTCTGTAATTCAACTTCCAAGGGGCATCAGGCTTTGTGAAAAGAAACACTGGCAGGGCTCTCACTTCCTCAAACCAGCCAATCCCTGGTTAGATTTTACAGTTTCAGGATTGTGCAGTGCAGCAAGCCTCAGACAGATTTTGTTCACAATCAACTAGCAATCAAGAGAGCTGTAAACGCATTTCACTATTCACACAAGCAGACCCGTAGGTACAATGTATAAATAACACTTGAACCCAGGTATTCCCGCACCGTAGTTGTGGGGATATACACTCAATATATTTTGTGGGGTCCGAAAATGTTGTGGGGACTCAGAAATGTCCCCACAACTTGGTTCAAATTTGCCTAACAAAAGAACTTGTCCCCTAAACACAATGAATGCCTACGCAGAAGTTTACATCAATGACCAGACTACTGCCACATACTCAAACATCGGCTATTTCCCTATCTGTGGCTTTGTAATAATTAGAAGAACTGTAATGTCCCAACCACAGTAACCCTAACACTCCTCAGTCCTCCAACAGGTGAAGGATTGAGGAGGGTAAGGCTTAATGGAGTCAAACAGAATATTTACACAGGAAAATGAACTCATACTACGACAGAATCTCAAAAGCACGAGGCCAAAACCAACACCACAAAAAACTAAGGTGTCATAAATAGCAATATGAATGAAAATGACTCTCCACTCACAAGTCGCTGATGTAGCAGGGGTAAGGAAACTCCTGAACATAGGCTCCTGCCCCAGCGTCTTTGGTCCTGAGAGAGGCTTTGATGATGCCTTGGTCAAACATGTCTTGAAGGAAGATAAACCCTCCTCTGATGTACTCACCATATCGGTAGATGCTACTCATTGGGCCTGGTTTCCAAAAACTAAAGAACGATAAACAAAGTGAGATGAGTGAGTACAAATTTCAAATCTGTATCCCATTTTCCCAAAACCATGCAGAAAGTGTGCTTTCAATAATCAGACTTAACAACAAAACTGCAACTCAAACGGTAAGCAAACTTGATCTACATGGGGAGTTTGGAAGTTGAATGTAAATGTGTAAGTGTAAATGTGTAGTAAAATCTTTCTCAAAGGACTTTGTTTTGTTGAGACAGATTCTGCTTGGATTGAAACGTCAGACCTTCTAGCATTTTGATTCGTGCGTTTCAGGTCACTGTAGCCAGCAAGCAGTTGGCAGGACTTTTTGCATTTTACATAAAATTGCTGAAGATTACATTTTCATGCAACCCCCCCTTCATGTTCAGACCATAGAGTTGCATGTACAAGTTCTACAGAGCTTGGAAATATGATTCACATTTGAAAATTTCAAATAACCATTTTTGTTTAATGGAGGGTCTGCATGGCTGCTATCTTGCAATCCAGTGCTTTTGTGTCACAAGGTATGCACAAAGGAAGTTTCCCTGTTGAACAAAACAACTGCCCTGCAAGATGGCTACCACGCAAAGCCTCTATACTTACTATTTCTTGTATTTGTCGGTGGCTCGAACCATTCTGCTGTCCATCCGCAACTGGTATGATACGTAGTTTGGGATCGTGTCGTTATCGGCTGAACTGTTGAAACCTTCAAACACCGCAGCTAGTTAAAATAGATGACCGAAATTTAGATTAACATCTTCATTCACCCAAAAGTTGTAACAAAAATGCCCCAGACTTATTTGAACAAAACTTGTGCATCATTTCCCATGAAAGGCCAAAACTTTAATCACTCAAGGAGCTGCATCAGTATGACCCCTGCTCGTCAGGCTCATAAATATTCCTTCTCAGCTACCATGTGTAGAATCTACTGTCAAAGTATACATTCATCTTGCTATTGCATTTGTGCTACAGCAATATGAGCCTCCAGCTGGACCAAGAGAGGGCGCACTTTTCTTGGCAACAGAGGCTCCTTTGGTCTGAACTGCACTCTGCTGGTTCACAAACAACTATGACCTACACTCCTTACGATCGCATCGCCACCAGCAAATGAACATTCCTGACCAACCTGGCTCTGTTTAACCGATGAGGGGGTGCTTCTGCTCACGGCGAATACAATGTGGCCCCAGGAATGTGTAAGCAAGGAGCCTTACATCAGTTCTTGCTGTCACTTTTTTCAAGCCTTGATGCCTCACGATATTAAAGATTCACATCAAAATACAGGGAGTTGAGGGTTTTCAAATCTGACTTGAGCTCTCATCCTACCTACCTCCCCAGAAGAGGTCCTCTCCCTGCAGTTCCTTGGCAGAGGCTAGGAATTCCTCCTCAGTGCTGAAGCCTATCGTTTTGTTTAGATTCACACACTGCAATGGGAAGTCACATGGAAAAGGTTATCTCTTTGTCTACGACTTTTCTATGAAGTACAAAATCGCATGGCACACGCTATGGCAGATAGAAAATTCAGCATGCAATCAACCAAGACATTCCACCGGTACAGAGCCACGATTTCCAAGCATTAGTCTTTCAATCCAACAATTTAACAATCCTGCTGGTTTAAATCTATGATGTGACTAAACCACCAATGACTAGAACTTTCCAACTACTTGTTATGGTTGTTTGCAACTCTGCGGATTGCATTCTGACAGTGTTGTAGTCGAGACCACTTAAGACCTTCACAAGACCTCCAGTCGGAATTCCAGTCACAAGCTATTCAAATGAACTGCAACAAAAGCATTCCTTTGTCATTGTTCACCCTGTTACTTGTGTCTGGTCTTGTGTCTGATCTTGGGTCTGGTCTTGTGACAGGTCTTGTGTCAGATCTTGTGTCTGGTCTTGTGACTGGTCTTGTGATGGTCTTGACTACAACATTGCATTCTGAACCAGCGTGTGATTGGAATACTTATTCCCAAACTCAAATACATATGCACATTCAGTAAATCACTGCCTTGTAAAATAGTGGAGCTGAGAAAAACTGTATTCCTTGTTGGAAATTTCCCAGAACATGACGTCATCTAGGGCCTAACCTTGAGGATTTCCATGGTGGTGTTGGCAAACTTGTCCAAGGCATCGATGGCATCCAAAAGACTCTGGGTAAAGTTACTACTCTCCATGCTCTTGTTGCGAGCGTCCTCTAACACTTTCTGCAGCAGGACCACGTCTGCCGTCCCGTTGCTATGCAACCGATCTTCCAACTGCTTCACCAGTTCTGGGTTCTGACTGAACTCCTGGGTAATGCAACAACAAAAAACATATCTTTCTTTCTACCTCAAAAACTAGCTGCAGATATTAAAACGTACAAGAAGCCTGGGTTGCCAGCTGCTC